AGAAGACAAGGGAACTCCTGTATCAAGTATTTGGTGAAATTTGCCTTCGTGGAGGACTTTTTGGAGGAACTAACGCACATTTGCGTTACATGGAGAGGAAGACCACAAGAACATCCCACGGTTAGCCTGACTGCAAGGGGATTCTAATCCATGATCCGTCTACCACTGAGGATATTACACGTCAGTACAGTGGTCTGTGCAAGTCCTATGCGGAATTTATGTCAAGAGGGGCAACATTGTAAAATTTTCAAAAAGCCAATTTTTTATTTTTTTTTTTTAAATTTTTTTTTCTTGGATTTCCTCTTTTTTACTTTCTGACTACTCTCTAAGCAAATGAAACATGTTTGCAATAACCTTATGACACCTTTTACAATTCATATATATAATAGTACTCAATTTTATTGATATCTTATACAAAATTTTAAAAGTTTTAATAAAATGATCTTAAAAGTAATATGTTAATTTAAAATAAATTCAATAGGAATTCAATAAAATCACATATGAATGAGCAGTTGTCTTCAAAACCTTCGTGCAAAACACGAAATCTGTAGATATTATATTATATGATTTTGTTTGTTGTAACATACAACTGTTACTTAAGTCATTTTTTAAAGTTGTTTTATTCAAATTGGTAGTTTTAAAAATTGATTGATTACTTTATTTTATGTAATTATGTGCCTTAACTTATTTTTAAATTGTCTAAGAATAAACTGTCTTAATTTTTAGTATGTATATAGTATAAATAATAGATTTTGCTCATAAATAAAAAGAAATATTCTTTGCTCAAATAGGTTCTACAACTAACACCTAACTTTCGCTATTTAAGAACTGGATATTAAAATTAATAATAAGGTAACTTGGCTAATACTGCGGTGTATAAGCATTTATAAATTTGAAAACACAAGATAAAAAGTGGAAGTTTTTAAGAAAATTTGTTTCACGAGTTAAATAATAAGTCCCAATGGTAATTAACATGGAATAATAGTAATAAATATCCAAATACAATATATATATTCAAAGTATATATACCCAAATCCAATTACCCAATAGTAATTAAACAAGTAATTAATATTTAAGTTGTAATATTGTTAAATACATAAGTTTTTTACTGTAAAAAAATTCAATCTACACTGTTTACCTTTAACTATGAAGCTCCTATGAAATAACAGTTTGAAAAAGATTTTTTTTTAGCTTGAGTAAGTTTTAAGTAAGATTGAGTGAGTTAAAAACTCAATTAAAAAATAATGGAGCTGTTATATTTATTTTGTTTTCTATAATTGACTTCTACTAAAACAGTAAAAATTCATATTACAGGTTTTATATTTTGCTTTTCACTTGCCTGAGTAAAGTGTATGCTGAGTTTTGTTTGAATGAGCTATTTTCTTTAAATAAAATTTCAATTCTAATTATGTTAGTCAGTAGCTCAATATGTTTTGTTTAGTATAAATAAAAAACAAAAGCCTCTAATTTTGTTATGCTTGGTTAAAATTCTTTCGCAGCTTTTTTATTTTATTTTCTTGATAGAATTCAGCATTAATTGATGTTTGTCACACATTAATATGAAACGAAGTACTATAAGATTTTTTTTACAATATTTTCTTTTTTGCAAAGGACTGTTAACTATTATCATAGAAATATATACTTGATAACATATTTGTCATATGCATCATAATTATAAAGATTATAAATTGTTATGTTAAATGTATTGAAAGTACAATTGAATTAAATTTACATTTAATTCAATTTATAAAATGCAATACTAAAATTAAAATGCAATTATAGCCCTAAATATGTCTTGAATTTATGCTATGATATGCACACAAATTTCTGTTATTACTTTATTTTTAATGTAAGTATAAACATTCAATTTGTTGCTAGATTATGATTATTTTGTTCTATAAATCCTATTTATGCATATTATATTATTTGTTAACAGTTTTTTTTTGTCATTAATTATGTTATTAGCTCTAATACTTGTGGAGCTATTTTTGTCTACTACTACATAATGTCAAGTTTAAATTTATTTTAAAAACTCCTTTATTATTGAAATAAAAGCTTTGTTTAATTTTCTTTTATTATATGAT